ATATTTTCCTGGCCATTTCCCTCTGTGGTGGGAAGGGGAGCGCAGTGGTAAAGCTGCTGCCTTGTGACCATGAGGTCACGTTTTCAAGTCCTGGAAACAGCCTCCTATAGAAATGTAGGGAAAGGCTGCGTACTATAGACCCAAAGTGGTCGGACCCTTCCCCGGACCCTGCGCAAGCGGGAGCTACATGCACCGGGCTGCCCTTTTTTTTATTTCCTCTGTGGTGGGCATTGAGAATTTGCATATTGTTTTATCTTGGTTTTCAATTTGATGGTATTTTCTTGTGCGTGCAGGGAAGAAGCACATATCTTGGTGCAGCCCCCATTGTACATTGCCTGGAAACTTACAAACCACATGTCATCATTACTTCTCGGGTTGCTGATGCTGCACTATTCTTAGCACCTATGGTATGCCTTTGATGGCTATTTTTATGCTTGCTAATAATTCATAATTTCATTTTTTTCAACATAATTGTACCATATGAAAAAATCAGTCATAGGAGGACGTGGGCCTTGGTCTATGGCCTCTGCCTGCACACATGCTGAAGAAAAAAAAAACATCATGTGTGGAAGTTACAGCTATATCTACCAATTAGTTATCTCTTTACGGTTTGTTAAGATTAGATCCCTACTGTATTAGGTTTGTTACCTAAGTTGGGGATTGCTTGCTTGAGTGTTCAGTTGATCATCTCTATTAAAGGGATCCCCAATGTTTATCTCTCACCTATGATCTATAAACCCATCCCCAGCCAAGCTGATAGTGCCCTGCGCCCGGCCATCTTCCTGCATTTTTAACAGGAAGAATATGAAGCAATCTTTGTATTTGAGTTTTAATTTGTGTGGTTCTGTTGGCTTCTGCAAGATGATGTAACATTAAAACATATAAATCTGTTAGTAGGCAACCTTCAATGCTCAGTAATGCTCTCTCTTTCTTGCTGATTCATGCACAAAACTTGACTGGATAGTTCAGCATAGATGGCGTAAGTTACATGTTTTCAGAAGTTTACTTCAGCCCATCTTTTTTTATATTTTTGTCACCGTCAATCTCCATTCTGCCAGAAAATTGCTACATGTCATACTTATTTTGTTTCCCCCACTACTAAGTTGGCAAAGGAGTTTGATTCCTAAGAGCAATCATAAAAATAGAGAAATTGGCTGAAAATCCAGACCAATTCACAGATCAGTTTGGAAGTGAAGTTATGAATTCTTATAAATGTTCTGTACCAAGAATTATTTGAGGATGTACCATAAAAACAGTAAGGATGTTGACATGCTTTCCTAGTGTAATTTTATGTGAATTTTCTGGAGAAAACTAAAAATGCCTTGTAAAAACATTTCCCAAAACTATTTTGAATTTTATGGTTTACTGTTTTTTACTGCGAAGAGTTTCCGTATTTCTCGTATCTTTAAATTGAGGTGTAACTTCTCAACAATAGATGTTTATAAAATCATATAAAATTCAGAGTTCTGGTATCATTGATTACTTCTGAACGAAGTGTTAATGTTTTGCGAATATATTACACCAGGAGAATTTGTCAAGAAACCTACATTACAAGAAGCGTTTCAGTATTTCTAAGCTTTACAGAACTTCCTAAAGAACTTCAGCTTATGAAAAATCTATGCCACTTTATAATGTTGATTCAAAAGAAATTCATGTTATATTCTGATTCTTGGGAATGTTTTTACATTTTCCAATTTTTAAAGAATCTTCTAAGCTACCAAAAAGGATAACATTTTTTTATTGTAGAAGGGAGATTGTAGAGTTTGTGGCCACAAAAGATTCTTATTTTCTTGAAATAGCAGGGCTTATAATAGCTCCAGTGATTTTCGGGTGTTGTTTCAGAGAACCCTTTATTTCGTTAGGGCTTAGTTATGTTTTTCTTCTCTCCAAGTTGCTCAAAATATGTAAATCTGAATATGTATTTTTCCTATCATGGTTATTTACTTAATGGTCCATCCTTTTCCCACTGCCTTTCCAATATAAGGTCTACGAATTGGGTTGGAATTGGAATGACTTTGATAAGTTGGCACAAGGGACATTGGCTAGCCATCTTCTGGAATGTGGTTGTCAACTCACTGGAGGATATTTCATGCATCCTGGTACATCTCTTATCCTTTAAAAATCATTAGGTGGGAATTTTCACTTCATTCTTGATTCATGTTTTTTATGTTCTACATCTGGTATTGTAAAGAGCAGGAGATGCATATCGAGATTTTTCTTTTGAGCAGCTTCGGGATTTGTCTCTTCCATATGCTGAAGTGAGTTACAAAGGAGAAGTTTGTGTTGGCAAGGCAAAGGGTAGCGGAGGTCTTCTGAGCTATAGCACTTGTGCAGAACAGCTTCTGTATGAAGTTGGAGACCCTGCAAACTACATCACTCCTGATCTGGTGAGGTCATCTTACATTTCCAGTCCCATGTAAGCTTCTTGTCTGAACACTTGTTAGCAGGTTGTAGATTTCAGTGACGTGCAGTTCCATCAAATATCACAAGACAAGGTTCACTGTAAAGGAGCAAAACCATCTGATCTTCGTGGGCCCGAGAAACTCCTCCAATTGTTTCCTACTGTATGTTTTCCTAGTAAGAATATAAATTGTACTAATTTAAAGTTTGTCTTTAGTCTTCTTCCAGCTAAAAGCATCCTGTGCCTAGTATTGACATGTTGCGCAGTTGGGTAATTACTCTGTTCCATGCTATGTTACTGGAACCGCAAAAATCACCAATAAAAGTGAAATATTTTATGTGTTGTATTGCTGAAAATTTGTGTCTGATAGCTTTATTGTTTAAAATTAAGCACGCTATTTTAAAGTTTCTCAGATAGAATCAGACAGTAGTGTTCATGAACTGAAGGAAGGTCCTTTGATTATGTAGATAGTTTATCAAGAGGCTCATAGTTAGCTTTCTCACTGTAGTCGTTCACATTTTTTTCTTTAGCCAAATGGATGGAAAGGCTGGGGAGAGATATCATACGGGGGACAAGAGTGTTTAAGGCGCGCTCAGGCAGCAGAATACCTAGTAAGTTCATGAAAGTATTTGCATGCAATATTTGTTTCAGATTTCCGGTGTGTTAACAATTGAATGTACCTATTTACACGTGACAACATAAAGGCAGTTCCTGCATTTAAACCTTTTCTGCTGGCATTAGGTTAGGTCATGGATGAACGAAAGATATCCCGGCATCGAAGAGAAAATTATCGCATATGTTATGGGATATGATAGCGTGAAAGCTAATGGAGGTGACAATGACAGTCGTCACTCTTCCAAGGAAGTGATAGATGTTAGACTTCGGATGGATGGGCTATTTGAGCAGGAGGAGCATGCTGATGGATTCGTTGAGGAGTTCATTGCACTTTATACAAATGGTCCAGCCGGAGGTGGTGGCATCAGGTACTTATAATTATAATCACGTTGGTCCTTGTCGGTGTCAAAACCGGCGGATCTCGGGTAGTGGGTCCCGAACTGTGCGTCTAGGTCGGATGGTAACAGGAGGCAGGGAACACGATGTTTTACCCAGGTTCGGGCCCTCTTGATGGAGGTAAAACCCTACGTCCTGCTTGATTAATATTGATGATATGGGTAGTACAAGAGTAGATCTACCACGAGATCAAGGAGGCTAAACCCTAGAAGCTAGCCTATGGTATGATTGTTGTATATGGAGTTGATTGCCTACGGACTACAACCCTCCGGTTTATATAGACACCGGATAGGGTTATGGTTACATAGAGTCGGTTACAATGGTAGGAGATCTTGAATATCCGCATCGCCAAACTTGCCTTCCACACCAAGGAAAGTCCCATCCGGACACGGGACGAAGTCTTCAATCTTGTATCTTCATAGTCCTGGAGTCCGGCTGAAGGTATAGTCCGGCTACCCGAACACCCCCTAATCCAGGACTCCCTCGGTCCTGTGTTTGCAGAGCTATTACTGTAGGTGCTGTCTCATTGTGGCTGATCTTAACATAGTTATGTATGCACTGACGTACATAGATGGCTAACCTATGTCGCGGGGATCAACCATGGAAATTAATTCTGAAAACGAAATTTAATATTACCATATTCATGGAGAAGATGTCAGCATTTTTCTTCTCTCCTTGTTCATGGAGTCGCTAAAACAATTTGACAAGTTTGTTTCCAATTCCATTTGGCAGCACTGGACGAAAGAACGAACTAACTCTGCAGAAGTTGCTGGTACGGATGACCACTCTTAACTTGATGAGGATTCCTTTAGAGGATTATTAAAACACATGTTATACTTTTTGATATAGCATTAATTTCTTTTCTATTTGTACAGATTGATAGGGAAAACATCTTCTGGCAAGCCAATGCGAAGAACTCAGCCATTCCTGGTTCACTGTCTACAAATGGCAAGAAGAAGAATAGGTACACGGGAAGTTTTGCGGCGGGCATTCAACAACGCTTGAATACAAAGCTGGACGAACCAGCACCTCCTGTATCTGCTCCAGCTCCATCTGGGTCGGAGATCGCCCTGTACCGTGTGGCCCACAGCAGAGCCGGCGACAAGGGGAACGATCTGAATCTGTCCATCATCCCTCATTTCCCAGATGACATTGGTCGGCTCAGGACAGTGATCACTCCTGAGTGGGTGAAGGGCTCTCTTTCGCCCCTGCTTGATCATTCGTCATTTCCAGACGACCGAGCGATCGAGCATCGAAACAATCTGCTTGAGCGCGTCGCAGTTGAGATTTACGATGTCCTGGGCATTAGCTCATTGAACATCGTGGTGAGGAATATCCTCGACGGCGGCGTGAACTGCTCCAGAAGGGTGGACCGGCACGGCAAGACTCTGTCGGATCTCATCCTGTGCCGGAAAGTCATCCTGCCTCCGTAGTGACTGACAGTTGAGAGATCACCGGCACCCGGTGTAGAGGGAGGGATGTCTAGAATCACCATCTACTGTTGTTGCGAAAAATAGAAAGGTTGACGTGATAATAAGACCTGTGAACAGAACAATAAGGCCTGTTGTATGAAACAAACAAACCATATATGTATGCTGTTAATAATCATTTGGCATCATTGGCCGCTTATTTGGTGGTGTTATCTGGTGTGTTTTTTAGGCTCCTGTGTCTGTCAATCTCGGGCGTCCGCGGTCGCACGGAAAAACGAATGACTGGGAAGGCTCGGCGACAGCCTCGCACGCACCAGCGGTCTCTCTCGCGCGCGCGTTCGGATATGCTGCTGACAGTAACAGCGGCTTGTTGCTCGTCGCCTCCTCGTCTCCACCCCGTGAGAAGTAGAACCAACGGCGGAGGCGGAGCTGGAGCTCCACCTCCACCCCGTCGTGCTGGCGCCGCGAAATTCAGAGCTCTCGCCGCGCCCCTGCTGCGGCGCTCGTCCTCCTCTGCTTTCATCTGCGCTTGCTCTTCTGCACCTCCTCCTACTCCCGGCGACAAGGACTGCGACCGCGAGCTGTTCGATGTAATGCCTCTGCAGCTCACCACTCTCTTCCTGCTCATAACCTCATGGAAAATGGCTCTTTGTGCCTCTGATAGAATTCGCTCTTGAAATCTGCTTTGCTTCTTTGGCTGATTGGGTGGGGGGCCTCCCTTCCTCAGCATGCTGCACAAATATTAGTTTCTGCCTGTTTATTGTCTTTGAAAATAGGGTTATTTTTATTCGACGAGCAAACCAGTTATTTTGTACTATTAAAATGCTCCATAACATAATAGGTACTTATCTGTACTTAAATGGAACTGACATATGCTTCGTCATAAACACATTCCTTGTAATATGGTCTTTCTGTGATGAGATCGCAGGAATACCCATTTCTTTCTTCAGATACTCCATGGGAGCCCGAGGATGTATGGAGGACATTTGCAGCATACCTCCTTGTCTTGCACATTCCCTTGAGCTTTGGAGGACTCGGTGTGGTAGCCAAAGTGCTACATTCTTCCTCACTAGACCCACTGACAACAGTGAGTGCTAACTTCTCATTCATCTATTATTCGCCGGCACTCATCTAGTAAATGGTTTGTTCATCCGTTGCGTGCATTGTTGACCTGCAAAATTTTACCCTGTCAATGCAGGTCGTTTCCACAGCCATGCTTCAACTAGGAGAGCTCACTCTGGGTTTAGCACTGTTGCAGTACACTGCAAAGCCTGGCCGTCAAGTTGGTACCTTCTTTGCTGGGAAGTTCTCGTCCAGGCCCAGCTGGGTAAAAGAAACTGTATTATGGTTGGGACTTCTGATGTCTATTGTTTTTCTCACATCTCTGATAGCTGACAGACTGATAGGTCCCGAGGTCAGTATGGTCCAACCACTTAAATTGCAGTTTTTTGACTATTGCACACATCTCCTGTTGTGTTATTCATTGCATTAGTCTTCCTGACTGAAGCTTTATAATCTGTTGAAAGTACCTAATTCTGTGTTCATTCAATCTGAAATATCACAGGATGCATACGATCCTATATTAAAGGAAATCCTCTCCGATGGTGGAACCTCTAGGCTAGTCTGTTGGTTTCTGTACTGTGTGATTGCTCCATTGTCAGAAGAAATCATTTACCGCGGGTTTCTTCTAACAGCCCTATCTTCCTCGATGAAATGGAGGAACGCTGTCGTCGTAAGTTCAGTTATGTTCAGTGTAGCACACCTCTCGGGGGGAAATTTCTTTCAGTTGTTTGTCGTCGGATGCATCACAGGGTTAGCTTATTGCCGGACTGGAACTTTGGCTGCTTCATTTACCATCCACAGCTTGTACAATGCGGTGATATTGTTTACTACGATGATGTCTTGAATGTGTTTTAGGGGATAGTCAGGAAGGTGAATACAGTTCATTAACACTTTGGCCACACTTTTACCGTAATCTTAAAAGTTTGAATTGATTACCATCGACCAGTGCTTCCATCTCAATCTGCCGGAAATTTGTTGGCCGGTTGATCCCCACTATTTCCATTTATCTCAACATGCACCATTTCACCTCACCACATATGCAACACCATCAACCCCCTTAATTATATTTCTTGCAATATGCATGGGTTCTTTCTACATGTACACATTGCACTTCATCAACACACTACTTTTATTATTCATTTTTGTGATGAACACACTACTTGTATTTCACTTGGTATGGATGAGCTGAGAAATACTATTTATATTGTACAAATATTTTACAACCATATAATAATCAAATACGATACTTCAATATTTGATTCACACTACTTTTATCTCATCATGTACACACTCCACCTCACCACACATGCCATCTCATCTCAGGTCAATAGCGTCTAATCTAGACGATCATATTTCACTGTCTGGGATAAATCTTATACTACACAAAAGAAGAGTCTAACTGAATCAAAGCATGGATGAAGAATAGGAGTGACAATGTAGCAAGCCAAGTAGCAAACAATAAACAATGTCTGCTAATATTTCTATTAGGTTTTTATTGGGGTTGGGAGTATTTATTATGGTTTAGGGTTCCTAACCAAGAGAAGACGATGAATAAGAAATCAATCGGGGTAATCCAATAGGTGGTCATGTATGGCAGATAGGCTTACTTGCCCGGTGTGGCTACACATCATAGATGAAGGAAACACAAAGAAGATATTGATAGAGGAGAAAAGGGCAACAATAATTACATGCACTCACCTTGAGGAAGATGGGGTGCACATACGCTTATGGCCTGGTTCATCATTAATTACCTAAACTCGCTAGGAAGCTTGGGGAAGATGGGGGTGTATGTGTGCACCTGACGTGGTTCAACATTAATTACATGCATTAGCCAGGAAGCTTGAGGAGGACGGGGGTGCACGTGCTCACCTGACTTGGTTCACCATTACTGACTTAAACTCGCTAGGAAGCTCGGAAGGAGATGGGGTGCACGTGCGCACCTGGCGTGGTTCAACATCAATAACTTGCACTCGCCAGGAAGCTTGGGGAAGAGGGGTTCACATGCGCACTGATACGTCTCCAACGTATCTACTTTTTCTCACGCTTTTCCTCTTGTTTTTGACCCTAATTTGCATGATTTGAATGAAACTAACCCCGGACTGACGTTGTTTTTAGCAGAACTACCATGGTGTTGTTTTTGTACAGAAATAAAAGTTGGAATGGAACGAAACTTTTTGAAGATTTTTTATATCAAAAATAAGAATTTCTGGAGGCAAGACCCACCGGAGAGGGGCCCCTGGGTGGGCACAACCCACCAGAGTGCGGCCCCCTCTCCTGGCGCGCCCAGGTGGTTTGTACCCACTTGATGGCCCCGCTGATGACCCCCTGATACTATAAATTCACATTATTTCAGAAAAAAATCAAGAAGAAAGAATTATCGTGATCCACTAGACAGAGCCGCCGCCAAGGCATGTTCTTCCTCGGGAGGGCAGATCTGGAGTCCATTTGGGGCTCCGGAGAGGGGGATCTTCGATCTTCGTCATCACCAACCACTACAAAAAAAATACACTTCCGTGATGATGCGTGTTTATCACAGTAGTTCGCATTTTTTGTCATGCATGTACATCCATGACAATTTTATGACAGAATCAAGATAGTCATACTTGTGCTGTCGTAGAAGTGTTCCATGACATTACCAAAATTATCAACACGGAAGTGTCCACATCCATGACGATAAATTGCGCGTCACAGAAGTGCTTTCGTTAAGGGTGACCGACACGTGGCATCCACCGTAACGGAACGCCGTTAAGCTATCGGGTCCGGTTTTGAATCCGATAACCCGCTAACAGTCCCGACCAATGTGGATTTTCCATGTGTAAAATCATCATTGGCTGGAGGAAACACGTGTCGGCTCACCGTTGGGACAGATGTCATCCACTCATTGGACAGAAGGCGCCTATGATACGTCGACACGTGGCACGGCCCAACAGAGGCCCATTCCTGTGAAAAGGCCGGCCCATTTGACTTGGTCAAAAGGTGGCGGGCCGGCCCATGGAAAGCCTGTTAACGGCTTGTTCGCATATAGCCCATTTACAGCCCGTTATGACCTATTCGAATTAGGCCCAGTAGCGTCATCTGGGCCGTCCAATATGATTCTAGCCCATTTTAAGTTCCGGCCCATGTATGGCCCATGACGTATTTCAGCCAGATGAGGCCCTTTGTAACTCTTGGCCCATTAACGGCCCGTGGTGAAACTGGCCCGGAATGAACAGTGTATCACTTTATACCCATTAACGGCCCATTAATCCATTGGGCTGTTTGCAGCCCATGTTATCTTTCGGCCTTCTCAGGGCCCATTTATTCTTGGGCTCATTTCCAGCATTCGGTTACTTACGACCCGTTACTGCCATTTTCTGCTTGTGGGCCAAATTCAGCCTGTGGTTACAGTTGGCCCGTTTGTGGCCCGTCAATACGTTGGGCCATTTTCATAGCGTCATCAAATACGGCCTATTAACGACGGCCCATTATGGTTGGCCCATGAACGGACGACTCCAACTCTAGCCCGTTTACGGCCATAATGCAGTCTGTTTTTGGCCCATGTTTGGCCAATCGATCATACGGCCCGTCTAAGGCCCATTGATGATACGGCCCATAGAAGGCCCATTGATTCTACGGCCCGTAGAAGGCCCATTGTTTCTACGGCCCGTAGGAAGCCTAGTGTCACTACAGTAAATATGTAGCCTGTGGCCTATTAAAGGCGGGAAACTACTATAGGTTTAGACCTACTAATGGCCCAAGATGATTATAGGCCCACATTTTGGCCCATATGAGTAACGAGCCGGCCTGAAGACCGACAACACTGAGATCCACTGAACCTTCCGGCCTAAATTGCAGCATACCGACCAAAGAATAAACCTAGACTATACAACAAAGAAATTACGGCATATTAGGAATCAAAGTTCGCTACCCGGTGATGATAAAGTGCAACATGACCGCGGATTACATACACTGGGCATCAAAGTGTTGGAAATATGCCCTAGAGGCAATAATAAATTGATTATTATTATATTTCCTTGTTCATGATAATCGTTTATTATCCATGCTATAATTGTATTGATAGGAAACTCAGATACATGTGTGGATACATAGACAACACCATGTCCCTAGTAAGCCTCTAGTTGACTAGCTCGTTGATCAATAGATGGTTACGGTTTCCTGACCATGGACATTGGATGTCATTGATAACGGGATCACATCATTAGGAGAATGATGTGATGGACAAGAACCAATCCTAAGCCTAGCACAAGATCATGTAGTTCGTATGCTAAAGCTTTTCTAGTGTCAAGTATCATTTCCTTAGACCATGAGATTGTGCAACTCCCGGATACCGTAGGAGTGCTTTGGGTGTGCCAAATGTCACAACGTATCTAGGTGGCTATAAAGGTACACTACAGGTATCTCCGAAAGTGTCTGTTGGGTTGGCACGAATCGAGACTGGGATTTGTCAGTCCGTGTGACGGAGAGGTATCTCTGGGCCCACTCGGTAGGACATCATCATAATGTGCACAAGGTGATCAAGGAGTTGATCACGAGATGATGTGTTACGGGACGAGTAAAGAGACTTGCCGGTAACGAGATTGAACAAGGTATCGGGATACCGACGATCGAATCTCGAGCAAGTGTCATACCGATAGACAAAGGGAATTGTATACGGGATTGATTAAGTCCTTGACATCGTGGTTCATCCGATGAGATCATCGTGGAACATGTGGGAGCCAACATGGGTATCCAGATCCCGCTGTTGGTTATTGACCGGAGAGCGATCTCGGTCATGTCTACATGTCTCCCGAACCCGTAGGGTCTACACACTTAAGGTTCGGTGACGCTAGGGTTGTAGGGATATGTATATGCAGTAACCCGAATGTTGTTCGGAGTCCCGGATGAGATCCCGGACGTCATGAGGAGTTCCGGAATGGTCCGGAGGTAAAGAATTATATATAGGAAGTGCTATTTCGGCCATCGGGACAAGTTTCGGGGTCACCGGTATTGTACCGGGACCATCGGAAGGGTCCCGGGGGTCCACCGGGTGGGGCCACCTATCCCGGAGGGCCCCATGGGCTGAAGTGGGAAGGGATCCAGCCCAAAGTGGGCTGGGGCGCCACTTCCCCCTAGGGCCCATGCGCCTAAGGGTGGGGAAACCCTAGGGGAAGAGTCCTAAGAGGGGAAGGCACCCCTGGGTGCCTTAGGGGGGGGGAGGGACTCCTCCCTTGGCCGCCGTCCCCCTAGGAGATTGGATCTCCTATGGCCGGCGACCCCCTTGGCCTCCCTATATATAGTGAGGGAAGGAGGGCCTCTCACCACGCGCCTTGGTGCCTCCCTCTCCCTCTCCAACTCCTCCTCCTCCTCCATAGAGCTTAGCGAAGCCCTGCCGGAGTACTGCAGCTCCATCACCACCACGCCGTCGTGCTGCTGTTGGAGCCATCTTCCTCAACCTCTCCTTCCCCCTTGCTGGATCAAGAAGGAGGAGACGTCGCTGCTCCGTACGTGTGTTGAACGCGGAGGTGCCGTCCGTTCGGCGCTAGGATCATCGGTGATTTGGATCACGACGAGTACGACTCCATCAACCCCGTTCTCTTGAACGCTTCCGCGCACGATCTACAAGGGTATGTAGATCCACCCCTCCCTCGTTGCTAGATGACTCCATAGATAGATCTTGGTGACACGTAGGAAAATTTTGAATTTATGCTACGTTCCCCAACACAAAGGTCTCCACCAGTGCATATAAACGCGCCGACAAAAGAATATACAAAACTGAGAGCACTTCAGAAGGCAATAGACCTGGCAAGCTTGGGCCCCGCAAGCAGCCGAACAAGCTGATGAGACCTCAGTTGTGTCAATGATATA